GGGGGGGGGGGGGGGGGCACTTCAGATTTTTCAGTTGATGTATTGTTGGACATATTTTTGCTCCCGGGGGCACTTGGCTTTCCCCCCGGAGATATAGCTGAAAGAAACCCTGTCTCCAACGGGCGCCAATAAATATTTTTTTAAAGATCCTATGCCTATTTTCTCCCCAATATTCATTTCAATGTGATAGGAAGCAAAATTTGTTGAACCTGGTGGAACCCAAAAAATCCACAGACTCTAGTAAAGCCCATTCAAATGTTTATATAAGATACTTGTGTAATTTTTTAAATACCACCTTTCAATTTAATAAAAATTGTTATTTCGTAGTGTACGCCTCCTTGTTAAATATGGAATTGGTCGCCTTGGTAACACATTATGGATTCAGATAAGGCGCCGAGAATCGAAAAAAACTCCAGGAACCACAGCGCCTAGGTTCTAGTAAGCAGGCAGTTTGTGTAATTTAAGTTTAAGACCATTAGAGAGAAGGAATATAGTTGATGAGAGTGCCAGTGCTATGTATTTTAATGTAAAGTTTAAGAGCATTAGAGAGAGGGAATATAGTTGATGAGAGTGACAGCGCTATGTATTTTAATGTTAAGTTTAAGAGCTTTAGTCATTATAGAGCAGGGGTGGCCAGACCTGTAGTAACTGAGAGCCATTTTTAAAATTAAAAAAAAATTGTTGAGAGCCGCATTGAAGCACTATGGGTCACGACCCCACTCGCAATGAAAAATTCTTTGTCTCAGTCAAGATTTTTTTTTTAACTTTCATTTATTTTTGACAGAGGCGTAGCGAGGGTGTTTGGCGCCCGGGGACAAGATCCATTTTAAAGCGCCCCGTTGTCTTTTTTTCAAATCTCAAGCCCATTATTTTCATCAATAAAATAATATCAAAGCACATTTTGGCGCCCCTAACTAGCTGGCACCCGGGGACATCTGTCCCCCCTGACCCCCCTCGCTACGCCTCTGATTTTTTATATTATATAACGGAGTGGCTATAGGAGGGTACCTATAGTAGCAAATATCTATTCGGACCCAGCTGGTGCGTGAGGTCTTTACTTTATTATATTCGGTTGGTCACGTGATGGTTATGACGGATACTTCCTGTTTGGTTTGCCATCTTAGAGATATTGTTATTATCAATCGAGAAACGTGCCTGCCATATTTTGAAGAATTTCATGTTTCATGTGGCGTTGAAGAAACACGAAGAACATTTTTACGTACAGCTAAAAGCAAGTAAGAATACGTTTATGTTTATAATTTTATTTTATTTTTTAATTCTATTTTAAATATAGTTCTATAATCATTTAACATGACATCATTCAAAATCAAAGTGGCCTTCTTTTTTTTTGGCGGCAAATTGGCTACTGTCTTATCTGTAATTGTAATGAAAAGTTTGGCTGCGACTATTCGGACCCGGTATCAGAAGTGGATACTTCAATTTTAATTCACCGCAAAAATTATTATTATTCACACTTCCCATAAAACAAATGTTCTTTTGAATAAAAAACAATTTGGAGAGATCAGCCCGCGGCCGCCATCTTGGTTATCGTGACCCACGAACTTATGTCCTAAATGTATCCCTAAACCTAACCTGAACCCTAAATGTATCCCTAAACCTAACATGAACCCTAAAATGTATCCCTAAACCTGATCAATCTGAATTAGCTTAAAAGACTTATCCACAAATTATTATACATTATTTCACATCTCCATTAAAACTTAAAACACTTCACACTTCCAATAAAACTAAAATAAATGTTATTTTAAATAAAAACATACATACTTCTTTAAAGGTCCTCCGCTACTGTAGGTACTTGGATAAAATTTTCAAATTGAATAAATTAAAAAATGAACACACCTGTAAGATAGCTCTTGTTAAATGAAGTAATAATATGTTTTCATTTTTCATGTAGCACTTTTGGTTAAAAATAGGTACTTTGACACAAATTTTAAATATAGTCCTATTGCCATGAATATGAATGATACATCATTTTAAAGGGCTAGCTTTAAGCTTTATAACAACACCAATTTCATCCTTCTATCTTTCATAGAAGTGGAGTTATGAATTTTTTAGTCAAATTTTTATGCCCCTTATATAATCTATATATTTTACCCCCAAAACGTGTGACCCAAATTTCACATTTCTGCATTATTTTGCCCACAACATTTTTATTTTTAAAGATAATTGCACAAAATTTTCAGGAGACATTCTTAATCTAATAACCAACACAAAGAACAATATAAATTTTTCATTACATCAAGACTTTTTATTTTGGATAATTTTCTTTGCAGGTATGTTGAAAAAAATCATGTCCAAAAAATTGTCAAAGTTATTTGTAAAGGCAAAAAAAAATAAAAAAAATACATGTTTATTGTAGTTAAACTAAATGTATGATTCAGTTATATTTCAAATAAATTCTTATCTTTATAAAAGGTAAGTAGAAGTCTTTTTTAATACAAAATTAAATGCATTAAATTATAAAAACTATTCAAATCACCCATCACGAGACTAATATATGAGTCGAGCATATGGGTATGTGATTAAATTTTAAAAGGGAATGGGGATGTTCTGCCTATCATTTTCTATGTAGACTCCTTTACAGACTTCTTGATCTTGTTAACGAATCACAAAATTTCTCCTTCATAAACTTTGTCTTTGCCATCCTCGTCCATGTTGATGGAAGTGGAATAAATTCCACAAAGAGGTTCTCTTCAACAGAAAATTAAAATTTTTCCTTGTACCTGAAAGAAGCCTAGAAATAACATTAATATCTTGTCATAATCCTGAATCTTCACAATTTCTTGTTTCTTTTTTATAATATTCATTTTATGTGGTGATTAAAACTCATTTCTTTTTTTTTAAATATTTAATTTAATGTTATTTGATATATTAAATAATTGTTTATGTAAACTGATTTTCTATGTCCTTATTAAAAAAAAAATTAATTTGATGATGTTGTAGTATTAGAATGTTATATTAACTTAACAATAATTTAAAATTTATAATTAAATGCTTTATTAAAATTTTTTTAAAAATTACTAATTTTAATTTGGCCTCCAACTGCAAGTGAGCCAAGTGTGTTGTAAATATTTTATTATAATATTATTAGCCTAAGCCCTAAGCTAAATACTAGTCCTAGGCTTAGGCCTAAATAGACTTAATAGGATTACCGGTAAAATAACTGTTTTTGTAAAAAATAATTGTATGCCTGATTTTAGCAATATTCTCNGTTTTTACGGGACGATTGGTCACCCTGATCTAGTACAATGTTCTGACATTTTCACAGGTTTCAAATATCAAACCTTTTAAAGCAGTGGTTCTCA